GGGGAGGGGGGGGACGCCCACACCCCCACCCCACCACGCAAGCGTGCACAGTTCGATGTTCCCGGCAGCGCGGGAACGTTTGCATTAAGATCCGCACCTGTGTGCCACTTGACCCGTTTCGAACATCGTTCCCGCATTTTGGGCTGACAGCGCCCGCCAAATCCGGTGGGGGCCGTTCGACCACATCCACCGCGCCCCATAACCCCCAACCTTAATCGGACATCTGCCAAACTGCCTGCTCACTTACACCAGGTGTGACGACGCAAGGGAGACCACGATAACCATTCCAACGTTTCCTTAACATTGGAATGTAATATAACACGGCTAAATAATGCTTTAGGGCTTGCAAGCGGTCGGATAATTGGATTTTTTTGCCAACTTTGCGGCTGTTGACGGTTTCGAATTCCCTTCATTTTTTTGTCAACAAAAGGCGAACGTCCTTCTCCTTACTTCCCCCGGCTTTGTACTGCCATACAACCTATCGCCAATCACATTTCCGCCCCATAGTTGAAGATTCAGTGGAGATCGTATAATCTGCTTTTACAAATGCATTAACAAGAGGGGGAACATCCCAAAGGTACCATTTAGTTTTCAGATCCCCTTCACCAAGTCATCACCACAAACGTGCTCACATTTCAACTCCAAGCCAAGATTTTCCTCCTTCTTTCCTCTGCCTGCAGAACCATTTTCATCAACACATCACCACCATTCTTCGTCTAGCCGCCTCGAGCAGCACTCCAGGATACAGCTTCTCACCCGAATCCAGCCTCAGGACGTTTCCAACAGCACCACCAAAATGAGTACCCCGGAAGCGGATATCTCCCAAATGGAGGTAGCTACCTCCGTCTGGGTCATAGTCAAGGACCAGATCACGCAAGACGGGAACACCAACAATATCGCGCACATCGCGACCATCCTCTTCGACCAGCTTGATGAGACCTCCAAGAAGATGCTTCTGAGCTGGTTCCGAATGTAAGATTCCCTAACCCATAATTCTTCCACTGGCATTACTAAGAAGAAACTGCAGTCACTCGGGCATCAACGAGATTTCTTTCGTCCGTGACATCAAGGCTCGTCGCTACTACATTGGGCCGACCTTCTCCTTTGAGCAGGACTTTCAGGTCGTCATGATTCAAGGTGTCGGCGCGGTCTGGCTCTGGGATCTCCGGAAGAGTGGTCAAGATGTCAGCATCAACTCCTGCAACATCTCGGATGAGACAGCCTGTGGCTTCAACAAGATCCGATTTGATCGTACTGCGACTGGAACTTCCACTGCGATGATGATTTCCGAAGTCTCCGGCGGCGAGTCTTTCTCATTCGGTGCTGGATATCTCGACGAGGCCTCCTCTCCCGACACTGTTGCCACCACAGATCATCTTGACAGCATCCCTAGCAGCCCCATCGGTCAAACTGACCACCACCACGCCATGGACTTTGGCCTCGTCAATCCTGGTGACTCAACAAGCGCCAATATCGTCGAGCAGCTGGTCTACAATGGCTCCCTCATGTCACCGTCCCAGGTCTTCGACTCTGGAATGATGCAGCAGGATGTGTTCCAGCCGACGTTCGCCCAACAGAACATCGCGCGGCCTAACTTGATCCACCCAAGTATCTTCCAGAGCTTCTCGGCACCTGCCACATCCCTAGCCTCGAGCTATGCCGGTCTTGTTGCGTCGGCCGGATTCACGATGCAATCCAGCGCCCATGCCATGCCCAATGGCTCCACCGTCAATCTTTCCCTTCCCACTCAGACTGAGCCCCAGTCCAACAATGTCGCCCAGGATCCTAAGCCTCAGAAGGAGGAGAAGATTCCGCGTCCTCCCAATGCCTACATTCTTTACAGGAAGGAGTTTCACGCTACTGTCAAGGCCAACAATCCCGGAATTCACAACAATATGATCTGTACGTTCACTTGGTCCTGATGATTTCCCAATTCGAACGCTAACTTAGATGGTAGCTGTGATTCTGGGAAAGCAGTGGGCAAATGAGACTCCCGTGATGCGCTCCAAGTACAAGAAGATGGCCGACGACATCAAGCGCAAGCTTCACGAGAAGCACCCTGACTATCGCTACACCCCGCGTCGCTCCAGCGAGATCATTCGCCGTGTAAGCACTACGATATTCCAACTTTCCTCGGGCTGGCAAGACTGACAACAGTTCTCTTACAGCGGACCAACCGTCAGGCGACTGCGGCTGCCGCCGCCACCGAGGCGAAGGAGACTCCCAACTAGGTTTTACAGGAGAACGAACGGGGAAGCTGGGAGGGAGGCCGGTCCTAACCTAGGAGGCGATACACAGCAATAGCGGAACTTCACAGATACCCATCCTCGATGTTCTGCCTTCTCTTTACATTCCTGCAAGGGGACTACCTCACAGCCCCAATGACAGCATAGCCATGGCGTTTAGACATGATTAAAGGCGGACTTTGGTGAGGAGGATGAGAAATATACGCCGTGGAGACTTGAGAAGGAATTCGATAGCAAATCGACCGGCTGTTTCGAGCGACAGTGTATTTACTCAGGTGATAATGCACTTCTGTCTAATCTTCACCGACGAGAAGAAGTCGCATGCTCCTCATTAATACAGTAAATGCAGACGAAACCAACCATATAGCTCGGGCAGATGATCCACACAGGGGATGCGACCTGAGGGGATAGAAGGGCGAAACCTCGGTGTAACATCGATGCCGCATTCACATCTTCAAAAAGACAAACGGATCTCAAGAAGTATGTGATTATTAGGAAAATGCGGACTTCACGAGCAACCATTTTGCTCTTTTGCGATGGGCAACCCAAATTCGCCAAGGGGAAGCTGTCCAAACTCTGCGCAACTAGCTATCCCCTCAGTTCAATCTCACCCTCCCTATCACCATGATTCCTCGCACCCTTGCAATACCACATCAGGCAACTGTAATCTTTGACGGTTGCCTCAGACGAAAATCATGGATGTACTAGCTAATATTCTTCTCATAGCCTAGGCAGTCTCCACAATGTGGAAGTACGAGTTACCTGAGGTTCGCGCTCACTGAGAGACACGCGCACGCAAGATGAGGGAGGGGGTAAGACATGAGCCCGACTACCCCGAGGCCGCTTTGGCGACCGGCGGTGGAAGAGCTGGAGATTCGCACCGCAAGAAGGGTGGCCAGACTAAGAAAAGGCCTGCTGCCAACAAGATCACGAAATCCAAGGGGAAGGAGCTGAAGAGCAAGGCAAACTCGACCTGGGCGCCGCGCAAGGTCGATGACAAAGATATGATTGTTGATGACAATCATCAAGTCGACCTCCTTGCTGGCGATGGCAGCGTGGGCAGCAACACATGCTGTTCCTTGAACGAAGAGTTGCTGGCGGCAGGCGACAAGAGCTCGGGTCTTCGATCCAGTGCCGACACCCTGGGGATCCCGATCGCCCCCCTGAACACCGAATCGCCCGCCAACCTCTGGAACAAGATCCAAGAGGATGCTTGTCTCACCATTGAGCCTGACACGACCTTTCAGCTTGACCCGGCTTTCCACCTTGATGCGGCTTTCCACCTTGATGCGGACTTCCAGCTTGATGCCGACTTTCAGCTTGACCCGACTTTCCAGCTCGGCCTCAACACCCAGCACGGCCCAACCTTGCAGCACGACCCAACCTTGCAGCTTGATGCAGCCTTCCAGCTTGGTGCGGAATTCCAGCTTGACCCGACTTTCCAGCACGATCCAACCTTCCAGCTCGGTCCAGCCTTCCAGCTTGATCCGGCTTTCACGTTTGACATGAATCTGGATCCGGCCTTCTAGCCAGATGCTCCCTGGCTGACATGGCGAGATGCATACGACTGCTCGTATCAACGCGTCCATGTTCTGGCAAGGTGCATTGGGTAGCAGGCTCCACCAACGGGGAACCATGGTATCATCCTGGAAGTTCTATGCAAGACTTCCCGTCAGGAGTATAAACGGGATTCGAAATTTGGCAGCGGCTGGGCATTGGAATGGAGGCACAAGGTAGAAGGAAGTGACGAAAGGAATTGAAAAGGGATTAGACGGAAAGTCAGGCTCTGACAGCTGTGCCATGAGTCGGGGCGAGGTTGAGACTGCAAACTGTCACCCATCGGTGACCCATGTGATTATGATGAATGGCTGAGAGTATCTCGGAACACTCTGATGGGGGCTTGCCGAGGATTTATTTCGATTTTCCCCAGTCGCTGCTCCAGATGAATGTGCCGCACCTCCACTCGGTGTCCTTTTCTTTCTCGCCTGATGGGCCTAGCGGGCGGGCGCACATGTAAAATGATCGACCTGACAGGGTGTATTTTAGTCGACAAGCGCCGATGGCAAATAGGCCGGAGAATCTGGGAGGTGAATAGGCCGGAGAATCTGGGAGGTGAATAGGCCGGAGAATCTGGGAGGTACCAAAGACTTGTTGTGTGCCATCTCCTGTGGGCCGAGGAGAAAAAACTCACCACAGTTGATACCTGGTTTTTTGGTCACAAGACTGGTACAGGGCTCGCCGTGTTCGCAATTTGGCGCAACCCTCTTGCCCAGAATCTTTGACCATGATTCTTTGGATTGTATGGGATCGAAGATGGTCTCAGAGGCTCGGAGTGACTGCTTGGGCGTAAAAAAACCTCTCAAGCTCGTTTGGGAGCCGCTAGTGGTCTGTTTGGCCAAAGACCGGCCTGCTGCCGACTTGGCTTTCTTCTGTGGTGGGGAGGACACAGGTGGCGAGCGTGGCCTTTTCTGCAAGCCTGACTGGAAGGTTGTGGATGCAGCAGCTTGTGTGTCCATCGATGTGTTTGAAGCGATCGCAGTGGATAGTACTGGGGGCGTTTCTTTGTGGGGTGGTTGAGGAAACCTCTTGGAGAACATATCCTTGACGCTCTGGCGGCGATCAAAATTAGGGATGAGTCTTGCCGATAAAGAGAGAAGATCTTTTGTAGACCAGTCTCGTAGCCGCTCCCCATGACGGAACATGCCCTCGGGATTCACCAAATCGGCAATATGAACATCCTCCTCGCCCGCTTTGACAATGTCACTCAGGGTTGCGTACACAGGGCAGTGGTCGGAGCCGAGCAAGCCCTCCTGGATGCCGGCATCGACGAACCAGCTCCTGATACCGGCGCTACACAGCACATAGTCAATGCGACTACCAAAGTTACTTGGGCGGGCATTCCTGCGAGTCTCCCAGCATGTATACATACCCTGGCGGATGGGGTGGAACTCGCGGCCCAGGTCGCACATGACTGGTGTCTCTCGGCCATGATCGCGCTTGCCAATGACGACACCACCAAAGACAAGATGGTTGAGGAGGCGCTGAGACGGCGTCGAGAGGAAGTCGTCCAAGCTCATATTTGCCTTGCGTAGCCAGTCTACGAGGCCGGCAGTGTCGAGCTCGCCACGGATAATGTTCAGATCACCCGTCAAAACCACATGCTTGCCCATGGCGACGAGGTTACGGACTCTGACATCCATGGCTTCTTGGAAGCCGAGGCGAAAGTCGGTTCTCGTCTCGTCGCGGGCGGCTGGGCTGTAGACGCCGATGAGGACAAAGGCCGGGAACTCCAGGATCATGCACCGACCCTCAGAGTCCAGGGTGGCCTCGTCGACGTCTCGGGTCAGCTGGCCGGGGCGGGGATAGCCACCGATCTGGCAGTCGGCGGGGAGGTCACGAAATCTGGTGGCAGAGTTTGGAGGACAGAGCACGCCGGTGATGCCCTCCTCGGCGCGAATGGGACAGCACTTGGAGGTGCGAGTGTAGATGGCAACGCCCGAGTAGCCCTTTTTGAACTTGGGCAGACTGAAGTAGACGTCCCAGCCGGGAACGAGAACCATGTCATCCTGGAGGTCCTTGGGCTGGATCTTGGTCTCTTGCATGATGACGATGTCGGCCTCGAGAGAGTCGAACATGGCCTGAGGGGTGGTCAGGAACAGACGGATGGAGAGTGGGACAAGACATGGAGAGTGGACAAGACAACGCACCTGGTAGGTCTTGTTCTCTCGCCATGGTTGGTAGGCAAACGGGTTTCTGATGCCATTGACATTCCACGACGTAATGCGAAGACCGGGCATGTTTTTGGATAAACGGACGGGCAGGGCGGGAGGCGGGATGGATTGGAGATTAGGCAGGATGGATTGGAGATTGGAGGCAGAGGAGCGGTAGAGTGGAGAATGGATGGATTGCAAGCATGGCGTGGGTTCCGGTCGGAGCGATTATGAGTGACGCGGTATCACGTGGCTTTGATGAGTCGGCGTCGGGTGCTGGTGGATTGGAGGTGTCGGTGGATTGGAGGTGTCGGTGGATTGGAGGTGTTGGTGGAGGTGGAGGTGGTTTGGAGGTGTCGACCTGTGCTAAAAGACTTTCCAGTTTGGTTGAGGGTCAACTGTGGTGGGTACGGTAGGTCCCTAGGTACCTCGCACCTACCCTTTGTCCCACACGAGTCGTTTGAGTCCCGCTCCCGCTCGAATTCGTCAGACGCATCACTGTAGCGACCACTGCCCTCTCCATTCAGTAAACAGTGGAGATCCCCCAGTCTCCAGCCGCCCCATCTGTCGCCTCGCATCGACCCATGCTCGCATCGACCCATGCTCCAAAGACACCAGCTTCTGCCTCGCCGGAATGTCGTACCTGACGCCAGCCAAGATCTCACTGCTCGCGGTGATCGATGTCTACGTGTCGGGGGTGGTTCCTGACGAGGCGGCGGTCCCGTTGTTGAGCTTTGTCGGCTCACACATTCACAGCAGCCTCTCTGCCACCCCCCTCCCGGGCGCTTCTTCAGTCGACCGTTGGGAAAAGGCGGCGGCCGCCACGGCGGTTCTGACGTCGATACAAGAATTCGAGCATATCCTGTCCCCCCTCTCCTTCCTCCTTTTCCTCAAAAAGCTGTGGCAGATCGACTCGCTCGATGCCCTGCATCGCTTCCTGACTGATGACCCGCGACTGCTGCTTGCACCGACCCGCGAGGAGCTTCGGCTGGCTGCTGAGAACGGCGAGGAGCTGCCCTCCGATGATGCCGTGCGCCTAGCGCCCAACTCCCCCTTTGGTAACTTTGTGCGGCGCGCCCAACTCGAGTTCTCGCGTCTCTCGTTCCAAAAGGCCACGGAGCTGTGGGCTGGCTTTGTCAAGTACCGTCAACCCACGGCGGCTGCCTATTGGACGCGAAGAAACTCGGGGATTGGCGGCCTCGCCTTTGACAGCGTGCTGCTGGCCGGCCAGCATGAGTGGGGCCCCGCCGTGCACGACGTCGCCCAAGTCGTCTACGGCGGCCTGGGTCGCCATCTCCAAGGAGGCCCTCCCGGCCTGGGTCGCCATCTCCAAGGAGGCCCTCCCGACGCCAGCACAGAGGACATTGAGTTTCTGCTCGAGTTTCAGGTCAACCAGATACAAAGTAGACACTCCCGACCCAAAGCACAAACCCTGCACCCAAGAGCCTCAATGTTGACAGCCCCCATCTCTTTTGCTATAGCATATGGCTGCCGCATACCTCCAGCTGTTGAGCGGCATTATCGAGAACTGCTCGCTGGAAGTGCCATGATCCCCAGCTTGTCACACTACGTCAGGTACGTGACGCAGTGACGTGACCCAGTGACGCCGACAAGGAACCTGTATACCCCGGTGGGAGACTTGTTTTAGCGGGCATGACGCTAACATGCAGTCTAGTTTCCTAGAAGCATGGAGATCGGGCGACTACCCAACATCCTTCGACTACCTTCACCGTTATTTTGACTACACAATGCAGAACAGGGATCGTCTCTTTTACCAGTATGCGTTGCTGAACCTGGCGATTCTGCAGGCCGACTTTGGCAGCCACAAAGAGGCCGTCTTGACCATGCTGGAGACGGTGTCGACTGCGAGAGAAAACAGGGACGACGCCTGCCTCAACTTCTCTCTCAACTGGCTCTTCCAGTTTGGCCGAGCTCGTCCACAGCTTGTGCGCGATCTCGAGTCGGGCAGTATGCTAGGAGTCGGCAAAGAGACTCTAAGTTTCCTACGCGTCAAGGCCAAGGAGGTCAACTGCTGGCCCCTCTGGAGCTCCGCTCTGCTCAGCGAGGCCAAGCTGTCTCTCTGCAATGGTGAAAGCATTGCCACGGCCGTCAAGTTTATCATGGCCAGCTCGCGCATAGTTGTCGAGCACAACCTTTGGGGCGCCATGGGCGCCCAGCTGTCCCTCACGACCGCTCTCTGGGACCGCCTAGGGCTCGCGTTCCTATCCCGCACCATGTGCGAAGTCTTCTTGCGCGTCCATGCCCGCGGTGCCATGTTCGAAGACGAGCTCAAGGTCACTTGCTGTCTCGCGGGCCTGCTCGTCGCTCGCGGTCACTATGACGAGGCCATTGCGCGTTTGGATGCCCTCGATCGTGACCCCCTCCGCTCGTGGAAGGTGGGCCGACACTGGTCGCGCTTCCGCGGACTCATCCGTCTCCGCCGTGAATTGCATCGCGGTGACCTCGACGCTGCCGATCACTTTATTTCTCAGCTGGTGCAGTCGTCAAAGCCAGACGAAAACGAGCCCGACATGACCTTTATCGTCGATTCACTACACGTCGAAGCTCTGACGCGCCGTGGCGAGCTTGCCGCCGCCCTGGAAATGACCAATGTCAGACTTGGCGAGCAACGCGATCAGGGCCGTGATGTCTGCTTGCGCGTGCGCCTGCTGCTCGCCCGAGCCGGTTTGCACGACCGCGCCGGTCGCTCGCGCAAGGGCTTTGTACTTGCACTACGTGCTGCCTCGGCTGCCTGGCGCGCCCGCCTGTTGCCTGCGCTCTGGCTTTCTCTGGGCTCGCTGGCCAATATCCTCGTTTCGCTTGGCGAATTCTCCGAGGCGGCTAGACTGCTCGGCGAGATCATCCCCCGCGCCCTCGAGTGCGACGCCGCTTTCATGGCTGGAACGCTGTACCTGACGCTCGGTGACGCCTTTACGGGGCTGGCTGGCGAGCTTTCCGAGGGCGCACTTCTTCTCACAGCACACATGTGTCCATCCGTCCACCCGGGGCAAGAGTCGTCAACCGCAGGGGGCCGGCCGGACACGCGTGTAGGTGCAGAGAGCGTCACCTTGTTGCCAACCCTCAGCACGACAACTCTAGCCGGCAGCAAGCAGTCACGAACCAAAGAACAGCAGATGCTGGAGCTATCGGCGAGCGCAGCCGAGGCGTTTGAGCGTGCGTATTCTTGCTTTGAGGCTATTGAGGACACGGTGAAGCAGTGCGAGACGCGTGCCAAACAGGCCACCATTATGAGGATGGTCGGTGACCAAGGGCGGGCCGAAGACTATGCTTCCAAGTACCTTGTATTGCGGGCGACAGGGAGGTGAACGGGGGGATGGTGAGGAGAGTACGGAGCCGTATTGCAAGGGAAATATTGTAGGAGTGAGGGTGGGTGCAGTTGGTGTAATCGGTGCAGTCGGTGCACGCGGTCGGTATAATCGGTGCATGCGGTGCAGATTGGTGCACGCTGTCGGTACTAGGTGAGGATGGCGCCGAGAGATGAACAATGAAATTGCATTGCTTTCCTGCTCCCATACTTGAAGCCCGGACGCCGCTCTGGACACGCCAGGACAGCCGTGGGGGGGAGGGGGGAAGGGGGGGGGGATTAGTGCCCTCCAGAGTGCCCCCCAGAGCTGCGGATTAGTGCCCCCCCAGGGGAGAGGGGGCAATGCGACGAGTTTGTGGTGGCGCATCACACCCTGCGTAGCGCTCGGCGGCAAATCAAGACAAGCTTCTTCTTCTTCTTCTTGTACTTGACCCCTTCCACGTCGGTGTCTCGCGCAGGGTCGTGGGAAAGGGAGTGAAGGGAAGGGGGGGCAAGGGCAAGGGGGGCGGGTGCGTCGAATTAGCTGAGGGGGTGTGCGCGCGTGTGTGTGGTTTGACTGGCAGCCACTGGTCCCGAGGGCGATTGATTGACAGACAGCACAAGACCCAGAAGACCCAGAAGACCCAGTTGGTGACCTGCACGGCATGGGCGGACGACACTGGCTCAATCAAAGCGTGGGCTGCATTCTCCAGCTATAATTCATTATTTTAACCTGAGTGCGTCTGGTGCACATGGCCAGCACAGCACCAAGCCAGCACCAAGCCAGCACATGGCCAGTACGGAGCCAGCCACAGCAGCCGGCGCAATTGGGTGTGCGCAAGTGTTTGCCATTGGATCTTTAACCACAACCATACCGAGAACAAGCCGCGGCCCAGCATAAACCTGCAGTTTGAAACGGAGGTAATGGTGCACCCGGGGTCCGATGACGTCATTCGGGGGCTGCCCGCACCGGGCCGCGGTCAGTGCTGCCACTCGTTGGCCTGCCACTCGTTGACCTCCGGGCGTCGTCGTGCAGCTCGCGGAGGTCCCTTTCGGTGTTTGGGCCGAAGGGGAGTGCCGCGGTCAGTGCTGCCACTCCTCGTTGACCTCCGGGCGTCGTCGTGGAGCTCGCGGAGGTCCCTTTCGGTGTTTGGGCCGAAGAGAAATGCCCGGTGTTTGGGCCGAAGAGAAATTCCACGGTAGCCCTGCCACGGTAGTCCTTGGACAGCGTCGGGCAGGGATGATCGGAATCGCCGGGACGGCAGCACATGGTCGCCGTGGGTGTGTGGATGCAGCAGAGAGCGCCACCATCGGGACGGCCTCCACCTCGACACACTCGCGGGCGAATGCGGATGCGATGGCGCACCGAAACAAATCTCAGACATGGAGCTCGTTCGCATGCGCACTCACACCCACCTGCCACTTCTGCTTGATGCCTCCCACTCAAGCTTTGTTGGGGATGGATGCTGGTGTCGGCGGCTCATGTGGTGGCGCCCCAACGGCTGCTCAGACACAGAGCTCGTTCGCATGCACACCCACTCAAGCTTTGTTGGCGATGGGTGCTTCCGAGATCTCCCAGGAAGCACTTGCACCGTCTTCCTGACGGCTGGCAGCCGTGGTCGACCCAGACCTCGGTCACCAGCTGGTTGAGGAACCGGTCCACGGCGGCCGTGGGCGGCTGCAGGAAGGGCCGGCTGACAGAACTTGCAGAACCTTCTCATGTTCACCGCCGCCAAGGCAGACAAGTCTCGCGTCATGGACTACATCCACCGCCTGGACGGCTTTAACCCCCAGGAGATCTCCGAGGTCTGCATCAACGTCGGGCTGTACGAGGAGGCGTTCGAGATCTTCAAGAAGATAGATGATAAGACGAGTGCTGTTAATGTCCTTGTCGAGCACGTCGCACCCACCCTCGGCTCGTCATGGCGTTGGTAGTTCATCGTGGGAGGATACTTGTGCTGATCCTCGACGAGATATCCCTTCTTCTCCATCGGGATTTTAGCGACTGCCGCCATGTCGCCCAGATCGGGCTCTGACGGTGGTGTCGGCAGAAGCAGTGGTGGCGCCCCGGAGCGCCGCCGGGACGGCCTCTACCTCTACGTACTCGCGTACGCGAATACGGAGGCTGTTGTGGTGCCGCCCCGACGGCGCTCATGTGATGCCGCCCTGACGGCTGGCAGCCGAGCCTTGACGGACCCCGGGGTGGTCGGGGATGTCGACGCCGTGAAAGGCAGGTCGACGCCGTAAAAGGCAGGTCTGGTGGTCGGGGATGCCGACGCCGTAAAGCCTAGTCTGGGTCAAAGCGAAAAGTGTTAGAGCCAAAGAAACTTGTGGCACCAGCCAAGGAAACACTTTGCTCATGCAAGCCAAGGGAAGACCAAGGCTGGTCATGTGCAAGATATAGAACCGACAGTTACCTCGTCGTCAATGTGGCCCTGCCCTGCCCATCCGCTGTGCTCTCGCGGGCGGCGCAGGACTCAGCTGCTGGCGGTGCATCGGCCCCAACCAGTCATCCCCGCACCTCATCTCGCCTTTGGGCAAAACCTTGTGTCAATTCATTGCCCAGCATGAGAAGTAATGGGGAAGAAGGGATTGTCCAAACTTACCAGCCGAGCTCCATCCGGAACCAACTGCATCTGGCGACGGCCTCGTGCGTTGAAGCAGACGATGTGGTAGTAGCTGTTGCCGTACAGCCACCAGTCGTCGTCCCCGGCGACGCAGATGCGGTACTTGTCCGCGATCTCCCTCCGGCTCTCGTCAGCGGGGGTATCCCAGGCCCCGGCGACGCAGATGCGGTACTTGTCCGTCATCTCCCTCCGGCTCTCGTCAGCGGGGATTCCAGGCCCCGGCGCTGCAGATGCAGTCGTCTTCGGCTTGGCATATTGCTGCATCTGGCGACAGCCTCGTCGAGGTATATGGACTTTGATGTCCTGCTCTTGTACCACCTGAGCTTCGCGTCTTCCGGACGAGCTAATATCGTCGAGGTATATGGATTGAAACCTGATGACAGCAGGTCGCCCAGAAGACGCTAGCTCGCCCGGAAGACGATCGGGATGTGTTGGGATGTTGAGACTTTGTTCTCGGCTCAAGTGCTTCTCGAATCTGCAGATCCCTCCCCATTCACAAGTTGTGGTTAGTTTTCGCTCTGCCCAGGAAAGAGAAACGTGGGATGATCATCTGCTAACCTTTATTCACGAAGCCTTCGCGCACCTGCTCATCGAAATCGCGAGGTGGGACCGAACAGCCCCGCTGGAGCAAAGAGGCAGGTTCAAGAGGCCGAGGAGCAAGTCCAAAGGCACCGCAGGTGAGGCGGTTGAACTGGGTGTTGGAGGTTGTTCAAGTTGGCAAGCGGCGAGGGCACTCACGAGAGACTTCATCTCTGAGCTGGCAACCGTCTCCCGGGGAACTTGATGACATCCTCGGCGGCCTCCATCTCTGAGCTGGCGTCTCCCGGGGGGATGATGACGTCCTCGGCAGCCTCCATCTCTGAGCTGGCAACCGTCTCCCGGGGGACTTGATGACATCCTCGGCGGCCTCCGTCTCCCGGGGGAACTTGATGACATCCTCGGCGGCCTCCGTCTCCCGGGGGAACTTGATGACATCCTCGGCGGCCTCGATCCTGCGCAGCAGCTGCATCTGCTGTTGCTGCTGCTGATGCCCCCGAGAAGCTCGGCGAGCTCTCAAGAGGTCAAGAGGTCCTCGGCCACGCACCCTCCTCGGCCACGCACCCTCGAGAGGTCGAGAGGGCGGCGAGCTCTCCTCGAGAGGTCAAGAGGTCGGCGAGCTTTCCTCGAGAGGTCAAGAGGCGGCGAGCTCTCGAGAGGTCAAGAGGTTCTCGGCCACGCACCCTCGGCCACGCGCCCTCCTCGAGAGGTCAAGAGGCGGCGAGCTCTCGAGAGGTCAAGAGGTTCTCGGCCACGCACCCTCGGCCACGCACCCTCCGTCCATGACGCTGCTCATCGAAAATCGCAAGGAGCTGTTGACGTATATCTCCCAGACGAAGTTCCTTGGGGAAGGAACCTCGACCCGGGGATATCCAGACCAAGTTCCTTGGGGAAGGAACCTCGACCCAGGGATATCCAGACCAAGTTCCTTGGGGAAGGAACCTCGACCCGGGGATATCCGCCAACAGCTGCTCGTCAAACATCGCAAGGAGTTGTTGACGATGTTCGACAAACAGCCGCTCATCGAAAATCGCTACGAGTGTTGACGATTTCGATGAGCAGCTCCTCGCGATTTTCGATGAGGGGCAGCAGCAGCAGCTGCATCTGCTGCTGCTGCTGGCCCAGTTGACCAAGGCTTTCTGGATCAAGAACAGGACAAATGTTAGATGCTTGGCCTCGTCTCTTGTGTCATTTCACCTTTGCGTTGCACGCACAAGGACAGGGAGGGTGGCGGGGGCAGCGAGATGGGTCTCACGAGTGCAATGGGTACCAGGCACGGTAGCCGGTGGGTGGGAACGTACCGAAACTGAAAAAGGATAAAGAGGATAAAGATGATGATGCCCGGAGGCGTCGGCTTTGGTCTCGCCAATGCTTGGTGCTAGGCTGGTATGATGTTGTTGTGGTTGGAGTTGGAGGGAAACTGGATGTGCCTTGGGAATTAGAAATTTTGCACTCATCCTCTAGCCCACCAACCACCAGCCCACCCACCCTGAGCCCTGAGCGGTTGCAACTTCCCTTTTGTGGCCAGGCAGCCACGGCTTGACCAACCCTGATGGCCCAAGTGTGACCCACTGGGCAGCTCCAGACTACCTCTACCGCCTATGAGCAAGTAGATTGTCGTTTCGACCTGCCGCATTTGGCCTTTCCGGAAACCTTGGAGCTGAAGTGGCGAACTCTGTGTCACTCGAGGGGAAGGATTAGGAAGTTGCCATGGGGAGGCAAGTCTCGCTGCTTTCCCTCTGGCCCTCAGAGCTGAAGCGGGGAAACTTTTGTCACTCGAGAGGGAATTGCCATGGGAGGCAAGTCTCGCTGCTTTTCTCTCTGGCCCTCCCGACCTTGGAGCTGAAGCGGGGAAACTTGTGTCCATCGAGAGGGACGGATTAGGAAGCTGCCCATGGGAAGGGAATGACTAGGAAGTTGCTCAAGGGGAGGGGAGAACTAGGAAGTTGCCATGGGGAGGCAAGCCATGGGAAGGGAAGGACTAGGAAGTTGCTCAAGGGGAGGGGAGAACTAGGAAGTTGCCATGGGGAGGGGCCCCTCCCATCTCGTCATTATCCGCCCGAGGTTGTTCGTTTTGTGGACTCAGGGCTTGGACGGGAGTCTGGTTGCTGCCTCACGCACAGGTCACAGCCCGGCTCGAATCCCCCTACCCATGGCGCACTGAACCGACGGCCTCCCCCGTGAGTAGACAAAGCAGGACACAAGAAGCGGATACGAGATGAATACCTGGGCTCACGATCGTACGGCCGGCGAAGCTTATCCCGATGAAGAATACGTATTAAGAAACAGCCCGCTGCTCCAGGCTCAAAAAACTAAAAAGTCGCCCATGGGGAGGGAAGGATTGGGAAGTTGCCTATGGGGAGGAAAGAACTAGGAAGTTGCTCATGGAAAGGAAAGAACTAGGAAGTTGCCCAAGGGGAGGGAAAAACTAGAAAGTCGCCCATGGGGAGGGAAGGATTGGGAAGCTGCTCATAAGCTGCTCATGGGAAGGGAAGCATTAGTAAGTTGCCCAAGGGGAGCAAAGGATTGGGAAGTTGCCCATGGGGAAGGATTAGGAAGTTGCTATGGGGAGGCGAGCCTCGCTGCTTTTCCCTCTGGCCCTCCCGCTTTTCCCTCTGGCCCTGGTTTCCCCTCCCGCTTTTCCCTCTGGCCCTGGTTTCCCCTCCCGCACGTCTTTTTCCCTCAAGACAAGCTGTGCTGCTTCCTATTCCAGCTCGTCAGGTCCGACAACATGGTCATCCTGCAGGAGTCGCTCATCGTTGCCGGCACCCTGCTGTCCACGTGCCGTGGCGTGCTCAATCCCTTTCGAAAAATCTCTTCCCGCTGCGTCAAGACCGGCACACACCTATTCCGCAGCAATGTCGGGCGAGTTCTTCATTAGTTCAACACTGTCCCTACCTTTGCTCTGCCTGGCCGCTAACATGGGCCCCCTTGCAGGTCCTCCATCGAGTCTGAGCCGGAGATTCCATCGTCCCATGTCTCCGTCAGGTCAAGTGCTTCCCGGTAGAGCTCGGAAAGAAGCACCCATCCCCAACAAAGCTTGAGTGGGAAGACATCAAGCAGAAGTGGCAAATGGGTGAGTGCGTCTGATGTAGGTGGATGTGCATCAGTTCTTGGCTAACTTTTATCACCGGAGCCTTGCAGGTCCTCGTTTGAGCTGGAGATTCCATCGTATCTCATCGGAAAGAAGCACCCATCCCCAACAAAGCTTGAGTGGGAAGATATCAAGCAGAAGTGGCAAATGGGTGAGTGCGTGGGGATGTGCATCAGCTTCGCTTCGCTTGCTGGCCTGGCAGCCTTTTTGGCTAACTTTCATCACCGGAGCCTTGCAGGTCCTCGTCTGAGCTGGAGTTTCCATCGTCTCTGATGGCTTCCCAGTGGATCTCGGAAAAAAGCATCCATCCCCAAGCTTGAGTGGGAGGACATCAAGCAGAAGTGGCAAATGGGTGAGTGCGTTTGAGGTATGTGGATGTGCATCGGCTTCGCTTCGCTTGCTGGCCTGGTAGCCTTCTTGGCTAACTTTTATCACCAGAGCACCGCCAGATGATCAGCACGTTTGCCAAGCTCAACATGGACAACGTGGTTGACGAGGTCAACGACAACATGCTAGGGCGCCGACATGGTCAACATGGACGACGTGGCCGACGAGGTCAACGACAACATGCCGGGGCCTCGCCGACCTGCCCAGAGGGTGGCTGCTCGAGGGCGTGCTGCTGTCGCTCGTGCTTTTCATGCACCCGCGCGTGGCTGCTTGAGGGCATGCTGCTATCGCTCGTGCTTTTCATGCACCCGCGCGTGGCTGCTCGAGGGCGTGCTGCTGTCGCTCGTGCTCTTCATGCACCCGCGCGTGGCGCGCGCGGCCGTCGTGGTCCCCGACCACAAGATACCCGAAACCGGCAGGTTCACGCACCGCTGCCGTCCCGGATCCCTGAGCTGCTCAAGGACACGGACCTGAGCATGGACGGCAGCCGGCGAGCCGGCTCCGGGCGCGAAGGAGGGGTTTGCTGCCCAAGCCCAGATTCGGTATGTTGATGCAACCATCCTCGCTGGTCCAGAGTCACTGTCCTTCTGTGAGCCGCCATCGACAACAAGACACAAGACACTAACCCTTTAGTGATATTTGGACTAGTTCGCTCACAACCGCCTTTTGGGTTGATGATTTTTCTGGGCGCCTTGTTGATGGGCCTGTTCCCTCCAGCCTGGCGAGTGTCCAGAATAAATCCATCAACAACGCGCCCAGAACAAATCCGCGCCGCTTCCAGCCCAACACCAAGGTCGGGGCCGTGGTCCAGCACCCCGGCAACCCCGGCGTCACCGTCGAGGTGCAGGGCCGTGTCATGTACGACGCGGACCCGGACAGCGACCGCGACGTCGTCACGACACTTTCTGGCAGCAGCCATGCGAGCCCCGGCCCGGTCCTGATTTCTGGCGGACTCTGCGGTATCGTGTCATGGGCCATGATCTGTGGGTACCGTCCTGATGCCACGAGTCTAAAAATAACGGCTAATCACCCTTGAACGTGTTCACAGACCCAATCGACTCGTTCTTCCAGAGGAATATGTACCGCGGACTAGGCGTGTCGCCCTCCGCCAGGGTTCCGGTGGGCGCCTCAGGATGGGCGATGGGCGGCCTTCCGGCGAGCTTGCCAGTCTCGGCGAGGGCGTTTTGCGCCAGCATCCGGACCGTGTCGGGCCTATTGTCGGACACATCCTCGGGGATGCTGGGGCCCTGCTCGGCGGCTTGCTCGGCGGCCCGCTCCGGCTTGTCCGAGACATCCTGCGCGCTCTCATTATGCCGCTCCTCTAGCTCCTTCTTCTGCTGGAGGCGCTTGGCTCTCCTTTCGGCGCGGATCTGGCGCTCGATCTGGAGAGGATCTTGGTCGTTGATGTTGAGGGGCTTTCCAGGCTGGGACGTTCCTGCGCCGTCAACGCCATTTTCTTTTCTCTTTTTGAGCTCGCCAAGAAACGCATCAAGACGATGGATGATGCAGAGTAAGACCCAAGTCGCGTGGCCATGGCATCATAGAGTCGAGCTTGTTTGTGCCTTGTGGTCTGGGACCTTTCCTCTGGTACGTGGTCGTGCTGCGCCCGCAGGGCGTTGCGGCCTCGTCGTCGCTGTCGTTGTCATGTCGGGGTCGATGGTTGGCTATTGGCTCTATACGACGAATACTAAAATTACAAATAAATATTTTAATTCTGGCTAAGCCCTCGGGATTAGGTGCAGAAGAGAGGAGTTTTTTTTTGAAGAAACAACGATCGGAAAAGAAGTTGAGAGACGATTCGAGACCTGTATGCGCAACAAGTTTCAAGAACCCATCTTGAGAAGGCGCCAGAATCTCGTTTTTGAAGCGTGAAGAAAGAAGTCGTAGCGTAGTGTTTGTTAAATTTGTCCCGCTGTAATGCCTTAAGCTGATTCCGCCCTGTCGCCCAGCGTCGTAAAGGCCCGGATGTGGACCGGGTACGTGGCCGTGCTGCGCCCGCTGGGCGTTGCGGCCTCGTCGTCGCTGTCGTCGTAATAATCGTCCTGCCCTTCCCGTTCGCGCCCAACGTGCGGCCCCTGACCATCTCCGACGTCGACCCGTGCGTCGCCTTGGAGAACGCCGCCTTGGAGAACGCCGCCTTGGAAAACGCCGCCTTGGAAAACGCCGCCTTGGAGAACGCCGCCTTTGCCAACAAGCAGCACCGGGCGTCGAGGGAAAAGGCAAGTTTCCTTTTTGGGGCTGTCGCGACTTCATTGCCCTCCGCCCGAGGTAACCCCAGTGTGCATGTCGGGGTTGATGGTTGGCTGTGAAAGAGTGCAGTGCTCTTTGGATCCTCGCGCCCATCACCCGTGCAGTCGACGATAAATCTGCGCGGAACCTTTTAGGCCGGGCGTTCCGTCGCCAGCTCAAATTTGATGGCACTTACAACGCCGTCACCTTCGTTTGCTCCAAGACCGATGACATCTCGATTTCGGAAGCTATCGAAAGCCTTGACCTCCACGAACAGATGGCTGCGGCATCTTGTCTCAAGAATGAGCTCCGTGGCCGTGCTGCGCCCGCTAGGCGTTGCAGCCTCGTCGTCGCTGTCGTCGTAATAATCGTCGTGCATGTCGGGGTCGATGGTTGGTTGTTGGCCGTAATAATCGCGTCGTGCATGTCGGGGTCGATGGTTGGCTGTTGGCCGCGTCTTGGTCGTTGTTTATGTCGGGGTCGATGGTTGGCTATTGGCCGTAATAATCGTCGTGCATGTCGGGGTCAATGGTTGGCTGTTGGCCGTCTGCGTTTTGGTCGTTGTTCATGTCGGCCTCGGCTTGCGCCCTGGTTGGGCCCGCTGGCAAAGGTTACACGACGAATACCAAAGTCACAAGCGAATATCCAGCGTTCCTTTGCCAATTCCGGCTAAGCCCTCGGGACCAGGTGCTTGTCAAATTTGTCCCGCTCGGGATTGTCCGCAAATGCCCGGGTTTCAGGACGAAATACTTGAACAATTGGATCCTTCCGTTTGTCGCGCCTCGGGGCGGCGGCGGTACGAGGCACGGCCGGCTCGACTCATATCTTGGCGACGGGTTCCGGAGGCAGTAGCACGTTCGCAATCGAAAAGAGAATGTGGTATGATGCCGCTGGGGTAATCAAGTTTCACTCTGCCAATTTCGAGTGCCGGCAGCTCCTGCGCATGGCCGAGGACAGCGTGCCGGAAAGCAAGCCGCGCCAGAGCAGCCGCCAGGTAGACCGTATTTTCATTTTCCAGTACAAACGGTTGCAACATTCGGGGGACAATATAAAGGCTGGGGTTAAATATTCGATGGCTTGGAGGCTAAACCCCTCTATGGTTTGATTACAGGTTACAGGCAGGTACCTTGCCCGAAAACGCAAAACGAAGGCACGGCACCGGTCCTTATCCAGGCCCGAGGCGCCTCCGACGGCCTCGATTTGGGCCGTTGGGCCAGCACATCCCGGAGCATGGGGTCGTCCTTGTCCTTGTCGACGTGGTGGACCCTCACGTGGCGCTGCAGATTGAGGTGGCCTTGGCGGCGTTGCTCGCCGGCCGCAGCATCGTCATCGGGACTCTGGCGAGGAGGCCACGGCGAGTGGCCGCGCGAATGATGGCGCTACTTGGGCCGACCATTTTGTGTAGTGTTGGTTGGAGAAGCGTGGACCACTGGACCATTGGGCCATCACCAGCCAGCTCCAAGCTCCAAGCTCCAAGCTCCAAGCTCCATTCACACCCATCCCATCCCTGCCGCTACCGACCGACTGTCCATCTCCTTCTGTCATTGCCATCTTTTCTTCCGGAGAAGCCGGCAACACCGTGTGGCGCGGCCGTCAAGGAAGCGCATTTCCTCCAGCCCAGCACGTTGCCTGTTCGAGAGGCGATAAAGCAGCCGTTCGACAAGGTCTGCCTGCCCAGCTCCTGGCCATCGTCCCGGCGAACCCCGCCCGGTGGTTAATCAGCCCACCGGACCTTGATTCCTTGAAGCCCCCGAGCTAGGGCAGAATCGGCGGGTAGTTGCGGCCGAGCTCGATTCTGGCGATAAAAATGCAGCGGGAGCCGCCGTGTCAGGCCGGGGGTATTTATGCTCGCGGCGGTGTTGTCCTTGGGGCGATGGGTCCAATTTCGAGGCGTCTTGGGGAGATTTTTTGGGGGATAGGGAAACTTCAAGACCTGTGTTCTCCGCCAACATCCACATTTCACGCTTGGCCTTGGGACTGTCGGGGGCTGAGGAGGAGGTGGCCGCCACTTCAACAGCGCAACGCGATTCCCCATCAAGCACACCCTCAGCGCCCAGGAGTGGGACCTCACCGGTAAGGGCGCCCGCTTCATGAATGGGAAGCTCGCAATACCTCGTCAATCACCGCTCGCTTTGTTCGAAAGTCTTGCAAACGCCACTTGCGGAAATCACCAAAGTCGTGCTCACAGCAACACAATATGAACTCTGATGCAGAGGCAAAAGCAGCGGCGGCGGCGGCGGCGGTTGTGGCAGCGGCGGCGGCGGCTGCAGTTGTGGTGGTGGTTATGGCGGCGGCGGCTGCAGTTGTGGTAGTGGTTATGGTGGCGGCGGCTGTGGTTGTGGCAGCGGCGGCGGCGGCAGCAGTTGTGGTGGTGGTAATGGTAGCGGTAGTGGTGGCAGTGGTGGTGGTGGCGGCGGCGACGGCGGCGGCCAGAGCAGAGGCAAGAGCAGCGGTGGCGGCGGCAACGGTAGACCCGTCGGCGATGCGGTGCGACTCGGAAGCCCAGCCCATACCACCGGGCGGACCGGACCTGTACCACTCGATGGCCTTGTCGGCGACCAGCTTGTAGTACTTGCACGCCTCCTCACGCTTCTTGGCGGTCCCGATGCCGGCCGCGTGCCTCACGGCAACCGTCATCTGCGCGCGCGTGTGACTGCGGAGGGCTGCAAAGGTGTAGTAGAGCAGGGCCTTGGCCTGGTCACGCTCGGCAACGCCGCCAACGCCTGTCGAGTGCATCAGGCCGAGCATGTACATGGCCGAGCTGTTGCCGTTGAGTGCGGCTAGGATCTGGTAGTTGCTGTAGGCAGCAAAGAAGTCCCTTGGGAAAGTAATGGTGGTGATGGCGACGGCGGCTGTGATGGCGGCGGCTGTGATGGCAATGTTGGCGGCGGTGGTCCCTATGTTCTTGCTCCCATGCTCCACATTATCTCAACACCGAGATTTCATTTTGTTGCTTGTGCAGCTCTTGCCAGATCCTTTTGCTCGCTGAAAAGCTTGTATCGTATTGTGTCCTTGCTCACTCTTTTCGAGGCTGTTTGTGGGGGAGTAACAAGCGTGACTTGAGGGAAGGCGGCTGTGGCTCAGCCAGGAAGGGAACGAAGCTTTCAAGGTAGGTTATCGGTCCTCGTGTCCTCCAACATGAGCAACATATAACCAAGTCACCAAGGAGAATCAAGCTGCTGGTTCCCAGGGGGCCGCAAAGGCCCGGGTCGCCCGCCCGTCGACGCCCATGGCCCCGAGGGCTCAGCAGCCTCATCGTCTAGCTCGGTGGCGGGCTCTCCGGCCTCGCCGCCGTCCTCTTGTAGATCTCCGCGCCTCTCCCGGCGGCGGCGCCTGTCGTCGAGCTAACCACTGTACCGCGAAATGCGGTACTTTCTGGCCGAAATAAGCATTATGCCCCTGTGCGGGCCCAAGCGGAAGGTACCGACAAAGATGTGAGGCTGGGTCGTTGTGCTGATGGTAATGGTAAGACCGTCCTGGCACTTGTCTGGCCAGCGTTCCTCCACTTCCTGGCATTTGACATCGTAGGTGCCAATGATGCTTGCCTCCTCGGGGCCATGGGCGTCGAGCCAAAGGAGGGAGAAGCCAGGACGGCCGCGGCAGCGGAAGAACAGCTCAAGGCTGATGACACCCTGCAAAAAGAGACCAGATAGCGCGGTTAGTAAAAAGGCTTTTAACGCCAAACGGACGAGGCCGAGGACTTATCGCCACGTACCAGGTCGGCGCCAGCCCAGCGCTTATCGGCCTTGGCGTACACCATCCATAGCTGCGCGAAGGGATTGTCGCCGCCAGCCTGGGCACCCCAGGCCTGCGCTGCCGAGGAAGTTCTCCGGGCTCGGGTAGTACTTGGCAACCTCGCCGACGTGAGCTGCGACACGGGTAGCGACGAGAAGAAGCAGTGGTAAAGGAAGCTCCTCGAGGAAGAAGTGGATCAGCGCATCGAAAGCATGCCAGATGAAGAGGGTAGCGACGAAAAGAAGCAGTGGTAAAGGAAGCTCCCCTTAAGGAAGAAGTGGAGGGGGCCTGGTGTTGAGGAGGGGGCCTGGCGTTGAGGAGGGGGCCTGGCGTTGAGGAGGGGGCCTGGCGTTGAGGAGGCCAGCGCCTTGAGAGACGTCGCGTAGGCTACCGCGAGGATGAGAAGTGTCGATGCCAACGATGCCAGGAACTGCCGCCGAACCACCCGAACCAAGAAGAGACGAGCGCTCCACATCCCCGGTTTGAGCCATGCAGACTTCTAGCATCCGGCGGAATCCCTAGCGTTGCCTGGTTCGAGGACGCGCTGGCGCCTCACGCCCAAGACCTCCCTCTTTTCGACCTTTATCTGCTCGTTTTGGACCCTCGCAAGGCGGCCAACGTCCTCCTCGGCCACATGAGCACGACTTTGGTGCCATTTGCCGCTGGGCTGCTCCATCTGCTGCTGGGCTGCCCCATCATTCGAAAGCTTCTGACAATGCCCAGTTCTGCTGGCTACGGGCGTCCAGGATCCGCTCGTTGAGGCCGATCAGCTTTTTGTCGACCTCGTCCACGTTCTCTTTGGTAAGCTCAGCCAAGACCGCCTTTCCCGAGCCTACACTCTTAGAGTAGTGGCCTTGGAGTTGCTCGATTGTAAGCAGCTGGGCTGGGGCACAGGGACCAGAGTCGGACGTCGGGGCCTCAGGGGAAGCATCCCAGTTATCTTCCTCCGGGGCTAGTTGGGGCTCCGGCATTCTCATGTCGGCGGCGCAAGCAGCTATAACCTCGGGTCGCCGCGCATTGGCAATCTCAAGGCTCCGCGCATACATCTTCTGGAAGCGGGTCGGTTTGCTCCCTTGCGTGCCATTATGAGCGCTGTTTGGCTTTGCTGTGGACAGTGCTGCTAGTTAGTTTAATGCATTATAAAGTTCCCAAAAAAAAACGAAAGTTGTACAAGACAAAGACCAAGGTTGCAGAAGAATAAGATGAAGGTTGTGTAATAAACGGGGGTGAATGTTGTGTACAAGACGGAGGCTCCGTAGAAGAAGGTTGTGTAAAAGAAGATGAGGGTTGTGTGGAAGACGAAGGAGAAAACGAAGGTTGTGTAGGAGACGGAGGCTCCGTAGAAGAAGGTTGTGTAAAAGAAGATGAGGGTTGTGTGGAAGACGAAGGAGAAGACGAAGGCTCCGTAGAAGAAGGTTGTGTAGAAGAAGATGAGGGTTGTGTGGAAGACGAAGGAAAAGACGAAGGTTGTGTAGGAGACGATGTGCAACGGCGAGAACTGATTGAACAAGAGCAGGGAACTTACTAACATTTGCCGCTGGGCTGCTCCATCTGCTGCTGGGCTGCCCCATTTGGTGCTGGGCTGCTCCATCTGCTGCTAGGCTGCTGCTGCCCGATAATCATTTCTTCCCTTGATGCATGCAGCCATCTCCTTCATGTCGCCCCAGGCACCACCCGGTAGTGGCCAGCGAACCACCTGACCACCCGCGCGCAAAGACCAGTCGCCCAGCCGTCCAAACTTGCACACAGCCGAGCAATCAGAAGCTTTCGGGACGACGTGAGGTGTGAAGCAGTCCGGGGGCAGGCGCGAGGTGTGAAGCAGTCCGGGGCGCAGGCGTGAGGTGTGAAGCAGTCCGGGGGCAGGCGCGAGGTGTGAAGCAGTCCGGGGGCAGGCGTGAGGTGGAAGCAGTCCGGGGCGCAGGCGTGAGGTGTGAAGCAGTTCGGGGCGCAGGCGCGAGGTGGGTCCCAAGCAATAGCAAAGGGGCGCCGAGGCTAAAGGTACGTAGGGTCCGAAGCTGTAAGGAGGCTTGGGCAGGTGGCAAGTAGTTGTATGTGGGAACGTGTAGCCGAGGCTAAAGGTATGTAGGGTCCAAAGCTGTAAGGAGGCTTGGGCAGGTGGCAGGTAGTTGTATGTGGGAACGTGTAGGCTATCGTGTCCGATTACCGCTCGCCTGAAAAACTTCGGAAGACACCGCACCAGGGACCGGAGTCTCTCCTCAGGTCCAAAATCAAGCCGCCCGCCAGAGATGACCTCAACAGGAGCTGCACCGTATAGACTGAGGAGTACCCGCGAGGGTATACACAGCAATCATGGCAAGCATTTCTTCCCTTGATGCATGCAGCCGTCTCCTCCATGTCGAAGTTTTTCAGGCGAGCGGTGAGGTCGTCTGCACCCAGGCAGGGCTGAGCAGGAGGGAGAGCAGATTGTTGAGCCCCGCCAGCGCCGACCCGACGGCGCCACCGCCGGCCCCTGAGCCGCCACCGACCCGCCGCCTCGATGGGCTGCGGCTCCGGCTGCGCGACGACGACGGGCTCCGCGGCGGCGTGGGGAAGCGGGAGTTCTTGGACCTGGCCTTGCGTTCGCTGCCACCCATGCCCATCTCGAGGGCGTACGGAGAGACCGAGCCACGCCTGCGGCCCTGCTTCCGAGCCAGGTTCTCCTTCTCCTCAAGCTCGTGCTCCACCTCCTGCATCTCGGCCGAGACGCCCTCGTCGGGGCTCATGGCCATGCCCTCGCACCATTGATTGTGGTGTTCAGTTCATTGATCTCGACGGTCGTCATTGATTGTGGTGTTCAGTTTATCGATCTCAACGGTCAGCCTCTTCTGGAAGCCCTAAACTCCTTGGACTGCAACTTCAGTGAGGAGAGTTTTTCCGCGATTTAACGCCCATCCAGAGGCTTGTTCCCCTAATGCTCATCCTCAAGGTCGTCCCCAGCGTTGGAATCCGAACCCTCATCGCCGCTGTCGAGTGAAGCGAACTTCTTGCGTGCGCGTGATGGTTCCACCGTGCGCTTCCTCTTGCGAGGGGCCTTGCCCATGTACTCGGGGACGTATCACCGGCGTTGCCGGGAAGATGCTCCAAAGCTGCACGAAGCGGCGCTTCTGGTCGTCGCCAGCCTTTTTGAAGAGTTGGATCTGCGCTGGCGAGAGCGACGACGGGTTGACGCGGATGCTGCTGCCCGGGCCTTGCCCATGTACTCGGGGACGCATCACCGCCGTTGCCGGGAAGATGCCCCAGAGTTGCACGAGACGGCGCTTCTGGTCGTCGCCGGCCTCCAAAGCTGCACGAGGCGGCGCTTCTGGTCGTCGCCAGCCTCTCTGAAAAGCTGGATCTGAGCTGGCGAGAGCGACGACGGGAAGATGCTCCAGAGCTGCACGAGGCGGCGCCTCTGGTCGTCGCCGGCCTCTTTAAATAGTTTGATCTGCGCCGGCGAGAGTGACGACGGGTTGACGCTGTTGTATCGGCAATGGAGCCGGTGATACACACTCATGGAGAATCACGAGCTCCTTGAGGATCGTTGTGAACTTGGCTTCGTCCAACTCTAGGCGGAGCTCATTCATGGCCACGACCACGCCCGACGTTGCGCTACCGCCAAAGAGGCTCAGGGGGTTTAGCCTCTAAGCCGCGCATTCGGTACTCGATGTGCCTTTACATCGTCCCCCGAATGTCGCAACAGCTCGTGCTGGAAGATGAGAACACGGCCGGCTTTTGGTGCACCGGCCGCACTTTGGGCGCCACCAACCGGCCCCAGCGCCACGAGAAATCAGTCGGTTCCCACCGGACCGGCCTCCTCGTCGCCGGCGACCCCCCACGGGCCGCGCCACCACTCGCAGACGACCCCGGGCTCCTCGCAGCAGCCCCCAACTGGTCCCTCGAACCCTCACCGGATTGAGGTCGCCGCCAGCCCGAGCATGAAGTCGCCGCCAGCCCGAGCATGAGGTCGCCGCCAGCCCGAGTATGCCCATCAACCCTCACCGGATCGAGGTCGCCGCCAGCCCGAGCATGAGGTCGCCGCCAGCCCGAGCATGCCCATCAACCCTCCCTCCGGTCCTAGAGGTTACCGAGAGGGTGCGCGCAGGGGCGGCTATCGTGGCGGCCGCGGTGGTGGCGACTCACGATAGCGCGTTGGCGCCGGGGTCATCCAAATGATCCCGACGCTTTCCTCATGTCCAGCCCTTTTCTGTGTCGATATATCTCTCAAAGTCGTTCATTTTCGAGTCCTTGATCCCGCCGTCCTTGGGCGGGCCCTGGCTTTTGGCCGACTCGCCGTCGGCACCACGCCTTGCCCTTGGCAGGGCAGGCTGGGGATGGCGCGCCAGTGGACGAGCCACAGATGGCGCGCCAGTGGACGAGAGCCGGATAGCGCGCCGGTAGACGGGCCGGATAGCGCTCCGGTGGACGAGTGAGCTTGGGTGTACGCTCCTTGAGGCAGCCGCTAACTCGGATTGCGCAAGGATGTTGTTGTGGGCAAAGGGAGGCGGGTGGCGTGACTGTAGGCTGGAGAAGCTACGTGCCAAAGGCGGCTTGATTTTGGACCTGAGGAGAGACTCCGGTCGGGTGCGGTGTCTTCCGCCCCAGGCACCACCCGGCAGCACCTGACCACCCGCGCGCAAAGACCAGTCGCCCAGCCGTCCAAACTTGCACACAGCCGAGCAATCAGAAGCTCTCGGGACGACGTGAGGTGTGAAGCAATCCGGGGCGCAGGCGCGAGGTGGGTCCCAAGCAATAGCAAGCAGAGGAGCGCCGAGGCTAAAGGTATGTAGGGTCCGAAGCTGTAAGGAGGCTCGGGCAGGCGAACGATAACGCCCATCTATTTCGCGTTTTCTAGTTGTCAGTGTGGCTCTTGATGACCTTGTTTGTAAGTGGTAGTGATTTGGAGGGACTTTGCTTACACTCGGCACAGCACTCAAAGTTTGCCGCAAGATGACGGGGCGTCGGGTTGAAGATGATATCAGCGCCGTTTCCAGGCTTGAACTTGTTTGGGCATCTCGTCCGCTACATATGTAAACCCCCATTTCGATTTAATCCTACACACATACGAGGTGAAAGCCCTTGTCAGTGATGTGCTGCAAAAGTTGGCAAAAGGCTTGGCAGGAGGCCGCTGGGCAAAGTAACTCACATCAAGACCAGGTCCTCTCCTCATCTGGGTTGACATGGGAATTTTGAGCCGGCGTTGCTTCTTGTTGCCATCCTCATCCACAAACTCGATCATGCCCGCCTGGGCCATGGCGGTAATGAGCATGTTGAAAAAAGTCTTGCCGCCGCCAGGGCCACCAGGGATAATGCCAACGCCGCAGGGAAGGTTGGCGAAGAGCTCAATAAAGGGGATATCTTGACGCACTTGTCGGTAGTGTCATCGACGGGGCGGTTGATGCCGACGGGGCGGTTGATGTCGAGAAGATACAGAATCTTGGGCCGGCGCTGCTTCTTGTTGCCATCCTCATCCACAAACTCGATCATACCCGCCTGGGCCATGGCGATGATGAGCATATTGAAGAAAGTCTTGCCGCCGCCAGGGCCACCAGGGATAATGCCAACGCCGCAGGGAAGGTTGGCGAGGAGCTCAAAGAAGGTCGCCTTCTGAAGTGAGTTCTGGCCCTCGGCCATGGTGGTGATGAGCATGTTGAAGAAAGTCTTGCCGCCGCTAGGGCCACCAGGGATAATGCCAACGCCGCAGGGAAGGTTGGCGAGGAGCTCAATGAAGGTCACCAAGCCTCGGCCTCCCCACCCCCACGCCGCCTGGCTCCACACCGATCCCCATGCTCTCTAGCCCCGCGCCGCTTCTCCGGCCCGCAATACCTGGAGCCCGCAGCGCTCGCGGGCCACCTCGCCTCGGCCTTGCCATTCCACCATCCCCTAATGCGAAGCCTGTCGGCGACAACGCAGGCGGTCAACGCAGGCGGTCAACGCAGGCGGTCGGCCCCAGCTCCCAGTTCTGCACCTGGCCACTCCGCGTGGCAGCACAGTCACCCCTCATGAACAGCCCCCCGGACGGCCCGGCATCATACAGCCCGGCCGGAGCGCCTCGGGCGGCAGTGAGAGCAGTGCCGCCCACAGCAGGTCTGGCTCGTTCGGCCCTGGCCCTCGGCCATGCTCTTGAGCTTGGGAGGCAGGGAGTTGGGGTCGTTGATGAGATCTTTCATGTACGGCAGCTTGGCAGGGAGTTGGGGTCGTTGATAAGATCTTTCATGTACGGCAGCTTGTCAAATAGGTTGACAGTGAAGGCTGGATTTTTGAAAGTGCGGATCCAATCAAAAACTTGTCTGGCGCGCTCCATAGGTCGCCTTCTGAAGTGAGTTCAGGCCCTTGGCCATGTTCTTGGGCTTGGGAGGCAGGGAGTTGGGGTCGTTGATGAGATCCTTCATGTGCGGCAGCTTGTCAAACAGGATTCTTGAAAGTGCGGATCCAATCAAAGACTTGTCTGGCGCGCTCCATATCCTCGCCCAGGCCCTCGATGAGGGTGTCCAGAGCTCCGAGCTCGGCCTTGTACATCCTCGTACTCGTCGAGGGTGATCATCGAGTACGTCATGTTGCTTGGGAGGAAGTCTGGGATGGCGGTGGGAGGAAGTCTGGGATGGCGGTGGTCGTGGTGAAGTCATGTTGCTTGGGAGGAAGTTTGGGATGGCGGTGGTCGTGGTGAAGTCGGTTTCCATAATCGGCTTTAGAATGATGTCGGCTGCAACGTGTACAGGCATGGAGACCCGGAAGACTGCGTAAGCCTTCAAGCGACCATCCGGCGTAAGCCTTCAGGCGGCCATCCGGCATCTCAATTCGAACGGCCGACCACTCGCGGGAGGCTGGGTCCCGGCCGGCGGCTCCGTTGTTGGGTTTGGCTACCGAGTATCGCGGGGATGGGTAAAGGTTATTGTAGAACTTGTTGGTGGCTAGCGGTGTTGGTAATGGAAAATGGTAGAGCTTACTGTAGAACTTGTTGGTGGCCAGCGGTGCTGGTGAGGCAATGCCAGAGGTTACTGTAGAACTTGGTGGCCAGCGGTGTGGTGAGGCAATGCCAGTTCGTGGCACTGGGTGATCCTGACGCCGCTTGAAATATGCAGGTGGCGCCGTGCCACCAAAGATGGGCTGAGCTTTGAGAATGGGTATGGATGTGGACGGGCAGAAACAACCTAGGACAAATGGGGTGGCTTACCCAAATAGAGGTGGGTGAAGGGGTGGACGAATATGCTGTTTCGAGGTTGTTCGGCCGATGACCTTTACTGGATCTGGCCTTTTTGCGAGAGTGTGGTTCGGGTTGGACGAATATGCTGTTTTGAGGTTGTTCGATCTGGCTTTTTTGCGGAGAGTGTGGTTCGGGTTGGAGTTGCCTGATTGTTGCGCAGAAACCTGAAAAGAGGAAGGAACAACTTGGGGCGGGGTTCCCACTGGTTGCTCCTGGCACAGGCAACAGCCTCCAGCACATGAGGTGCTCGGCCGATGACCTATACTGGATCTGGCCTTTTTGCGGAGAGTGTGGTCCGGGTTGGAGTTGCCTGATTTTGCGCAGAAGAGGAAGGAACAACTTGGGGCGGGGTCTCCAACTGGTTGCTCCTGGCAAGATAACAGCCTTCAGCACATGAGGTGTTCGGCCCGTAATGTCAGCGCCAGGCCCCCTTTGGAGCACTGGTCCCACAAAGGGACTGCTGTTGAAAATCACATTGCCCGCTCCAGCTTCCCTGTCTTTTTCTTCCTCCAAAACATCACGCCCAGTCGTGCCGGCGCGCCGTCGAATACCGGACACGACCCCTCCCAAGTTTGGACAACTAGCAAAGCACCCAACTTCGCTAGCCCACTGCCCATGCCCACAAGACAAAGACTTCGAGGGCGCTGTGTGATTCTGGTGAAGGTTACCGAGGTACGTACCGCCCTTGTCGACTGATCTCACTCAGTTGCTGCTATCAAACACCGGCTAGTAGACCGCTGACCATTACAGTCTGGTCCCAGTTAGCCAGCAACTGATTAGGGACCTACTACAAGCCTCCCCTGCTTTCTGCCTGCCCATATTTCAAACATATTTAAAGAATCGGAATGTGGTCAGCGTCACTTCCCAAGCACAGGTGAACCAGATGATCGAGGATAACGACGACGACATTCAGAGCAGCCTCTACTGGCGACAAGCTTTCGACGTGAGGACAGCCGAGCTCTCAGTACGTACTACCTACCTTGCGCGCCAGGGCCAGCGGCTGTGCTAACTCGGCCTCTCCCATGCACAGTCGGTCGAGCATGTCTGCAAATGCGGCCAGCCAGCAAATCCTGACAAGACCTTGATAGGATGTTCCAACACAAAAGGCGGCTGCGGAAGTGGCTTCACTCGGACTGCCTGATACACGGTGCGCTTACCAGGGTTTACGAGAAGCTGGGCAAGACCAAGCCACGATAACACCACCCACCCTCAAGGACGAAAAAGACGGCGACGAGGGCAAGACCAAGCCACACACAACACCACCCACCCTCAAGGACGAAAAAGACGGCGACTGCGGAAAGTGGCTTCACTCGGACTGCCTAATACACGACGCGCTCGCCAGGGTTTACGAGAAGCTGGGCAAGACCAAGCCACACATAACACCACCCACCCTCAAGGACGAAAAAGACGGCGACGAGGCCAAGACCGAGCCACACATAACACCACCCACCCTCAAGGACGAAAAAGGCTTCATCGCCCTGTACCTCTTGTCATTTTCCAGCCCGCTCCTGTCGCCCAACCTGCTGCACAAGATCCCCAGCGACGCCGCGGCCGAGATCATGAGCGGCAAGCAGGTCGACTCGTCGCTCCTGGGCCAGATCTTTACCAACCCGTACAGCGCCGGTGCGCTCGAGATGGCCCGCGCCAACAAGATGGTAGGTTTTGCTTTGCTGACGGCGACGAGGCCCAAGACCCTCAAGGACGAAAAAGACGGCGACGAGGCCAAGAGTCCACTGAGCCCCAAGGAGTCGTTTGTCCATCAGCGCATGGGCGATGCCTGTCGGGCTACAAGATGGCCATGCGCCTGGAGTGGACGCGGCTGCGCGACATGGCCTCCAGATGCCAAAGACGCTTCGCTTCGAGGCGACCCCCAGGTTCTGGGACAGGATGCGGATGCCCGGCTGGAACGACGGCGGCCCCGGAGACCACGAGATGTTCCCGGCGCAGGAGGCTGCCGGCGGGTGCTCCTTGCTAGACTTTTGCCTTCTCATGGGCGGTGTCGACAGCCAGACACCGGAGCCAAAGATGTGCTGGGCTTTGAACTTGCCCTTCATCGCCGCCATCGCTGGCCTGGAGCATGACGTCCGGGGCAACAAGAAGTTGGTGGCGCAGGGCCAGACGCCGGAGCCAGAGATGTGCCCGGCCTTAAACCTGCCTTCGTTGCCGCCATTGCCGGCCTGGAGCATGACGTCCGGGGCAACAAAAAGTTGGTGGCGGAGGGCCAGACACCGGAGCCAGAGATGTGCCGGGCCTTGAGCCTGCCTTTATCGCCACCTCGCCGGCCTGGAGCATGACGTCCGGGGCAACAAAAAGTCGGTGGCGCAGGGCCAGACACCGGAGCCAGAGAGGGGCACGGTGCTCGGCTTCGTCTTCCTGCGCAACTACTTCGTTGGTCTCTGCGGCGACGGGTGGTATCTACCCAGCATGGCCTCGGCGTTGTTGGGGCGGCGCACGCCGCAGATGTCGGGCGTGAGGCCGACGAAGGCGCCGTCGGGCGTGAGGCCGATGAAGGGGCCAACACGACGCCGCAGATTGCTTGTCCAGACCTCCCCGAGCCATCTCCACTTCTGCGCCGCCGTTGGCCGTGTCCAAGATGTTGGCGCGCCCTGCCTCAATGGCATCCAGACCTCCCCGAGCCATCTCCACTTCTGCGCCGCCGTTGGCCGTGTCCAAGATGTTCAGATCCCGCCCAACGGCGTCCCGCCCAGCGTTTCGGATCAGACCCAGACGCCCCAGCCCTCTCTACATGCAGCACTCGTACGCCAACGGCGCCGTCAGTCTCAATCCTACTCTCAACAGCCACAACAACAGCAACAAGAGCAACAAAAGCAGCAGCAACAGCACCAGCGGCAGCCTCAACAGCAGTATCAACAGCATTCTCAGCACCAGCCTCAGCACCAGTTTCAATCCTACTCTCAACAGCCACAACAACAGCAACAACAGCAACAAGAGCAGCAGCAACAGCATAGCACCAGCGGCGATAGCAATGGCAACAGCTGGTATCAAGGCAACAAACCCACCACGGCTCTCCTGCGATGCTGGATTATGGAGACAAACTTTACCACAACCACCGCCATCCCAAACTTCCTCCCAAGCAATATGACTTCACCACGACCACCGCCATCCCAGACTTCCTCCCAAGCAACTTGGGATGGCGGCGGTCGTGGTAAAATCTGTTTCCATAATCAGCTTTAGAATGATGTCGGCTGCGACGTGTACAGGCATGGAAACCCGGAAGACTGCGTAAGCCTTCAGGCCTCGCGCCGCTTGTTGCTGATGCTCCTCTGCAACGGAGCCTGCCCTTCATTGCCGCCATCGCCGGCCTGGAGCATGACCGGGCCTTGAACCTGCCCTTCATCGCCGGCATCGCCGGCCTGGAGCACGACCGGGTCTTGAACCTGCCCTTCATCGCCGGCATCGCCGGCCTGGAGCATGACCGCCGCACTCGAGATGTGCCGGGCCTTGAACCTGCCTTTCATCGCCGCCATTGCCGGCCTGGAGCATGACGTCCGGGGCAACAAGAAGTTGCTGGTGCAGGGCGTCGAGGCAGGCGAGGGCGCCAAAGCAGATGGTGCGCTCGAGAAAGGACGGCAGCAGCAGAAAGTTCTTGAGGCGCTCGAACTTGCCTTTCTCGGGCCGGCAAAGACATTCTTGAAGCAATCCTGTCGACTTGAAGGGATCTTGATCTGCTTGGAAGGGCCCAGGTTCGGGACCGCCTGAAGGCTTACGCCGGATGGCCGCCTAAAGGCTTACGCCGGATGGCCGGCGCCAGCGCCGCCTCGCCTATCCAAAAGGTCCTGCCCTTCCGTTCGCGCCCAGCGTGCGGCCCCTGACCATCTCCGACGTCGACTCGTGCGTCGCCTTGGAGAACGCCGCCTTTACCAACAAGCAGCACCGGGCGTCGAGGGAGAAGGCAAGTTTCCTTTTTGGGGCTGTCGCGACTCATTGCCCTCCGCCCGAGGTAACCCCAGGGGAACGGCGGCATGCTGGGCTTCACGGTGCATCGCAGTGTAAGCCAGTCGCCAACCAATCCCCTTAGCCGCCGCGAAGTGTGCGCCGCGGAATCAATGCACCGCTTGCTGACCAGGACGCCAAGCAGAAACGGCTACACACTCTTCCTCTTAGGGGAGGACCTTCTCTCAGCACTTGGGCGCCGCCATCGACCGTGCCCGAATCCTTCTCCCAGCGCATGCCGAATGCCATCACGCCGACTCGGATCCTGACGAGGTGGCCGCCCAGTATGGCCGCTTCGTTCCGCAGCACCACGAGCAACACCAGCCCATAGTGGCGTGGGTATGCATCTTTACATTATCCAGCTGGGCCTCCGCATGCCGCTATGTGGTCGCTTAAATACGGGGAGTTCTCGGGCGATGTTCTCGTCACGGACTTGCCCCTCCCGCCTCGCCGTCGCTGAGTCTGCTCGGTTGTCTGCCTGTATTCATCCCCTGCTCCATCATGAAGCCCGGGCGCCCGCATTATCGACGGAACTTTGCACGTTCGTAAAACGTGTCCTCCTGTACCTGAACGCTGCCATTGCTCCGAAGCAAGGGTGGTAGTGCGAGATATGGTGATGGGACGAGGACAGTATGGGATCTCCATGTGCAGGGGTTGCTGGAGAGGTGAAAAAGCCTAGACGTATCAAGAGCTAGAAGTCAAAATTTTTCCTTGGCTTCGAGGACGACGCCTGGTTGTGAACCAACAAGAGCTGGCTCCAGGGTGTTACGGGCGAAAGCCGCCACACTCGAGATGTGCCGGGCCTCGTCGACGGCCGCCGCCCCGCCCCGGCCGCCGACGAGGCCAAGATTGCCGTACAGATCCTACATTATCAGTCGAAACCACCAAGACCTTGTCAAGAAGCTGTCCGCCGGCGCAGTCGGAACTGTTATCCAATGCCCGCGAGACACCAACACCCGCCTTGCCTTTGTCTTCTCGGGACAGGGCCCAGTGGTGGGCCATGGGGAGGGAGCTCCCTGTATTCCGAGACAGCATTGAAGCTGCCTGTCGGTATATGCACAAATCCCTGAATGGAAGCCCAACCCTGCTCCATGAGCTAGAAGCCAGCACATGCGAGGATGACTCAATGTGCGAGGTGGTGTCACATGACACACCCGCAAACGCTAGTATTTAGTCCTGGGATCGTTGGCTCCTTTGCCGGCTTTCCACCTCCGACACTCAATCATCGACCTACCACATCTATCACAACCACTCACGACAGCGATACAAGTAGCCCTCGTCGACCTTTTCCGAGCGAATCAGCCGAGGATCAAGGCATTGGTGGTTTGCTGCTCATTTTTTACCTTTTATTACCTGCCTAGGTACCTGGTTAGGGGAGGGGTATATAAAGAGATTATTGAAGCTTAGTCGCCCCCTGGTGAGCAACACCCTTGCCGAAACAAGTCCCAAAATGTCTTATTCCGAGACCATCACATCGGTCCGTGCACTCTTGAAATACATCGAGAAGCACAATCCCGAGCATCTTCGAAATGCTGGAAGCATCGATGCACCGAGCAAATGGGACGCAAGTTACCTTTTCAAATGCCGAGTAGTTTGCCCCATTGGGGAGTTTGCTGCTCATTTCTTGACTTTTATTATTCCGAAACCATCACATCGGTCCGTGCACTTTTAAAATACATCGAAAAGCACAATCCCGAGCATTTTCGAAATGCTGGAAGCATCGATGCACCGAGCAAATGGAACGCAAGCCACCTCTTCAAATGCCGAATGGTTTGCCCCAAGCCAAACGGAAAACCATTCCTTGGCATAGCCAAGGTCGAGGACGAAAATAACGCCGAATGGGAAAAAGTTATCAAGCCTTTCCCAAAGCGGCTGAACCGGCGGTCATACCCACACTACCACCAGCATTTTCGGACGGGCACCCCAACTCTGCATTTTGGCGGATCACTTGTACTTTGGAAGGCTTCCTGGTCTCCGGAGAGGGTCAAAAACCTTGGGCCGTTGTAGCATGCGATCTTGACCGAGCCGGGTGGGACAATGTCGAGGTACTGTTGGACCTCTTGCTCAGATAGGTAAACCGTGAGCATCTTGCCCGTTGGCTGGGACTTGTCGGCTTGCCACTCTGCGACGCAGTGTCCACGAAAGTAAGCAACTTTAGTGATGTTTCTGGCCAGAGAGGGTAGCAGGAGCATACCTTGGAGCTGGCAGTGCCTGGCAGCTAAAGCAAGACAACACCTAGAACAGTTGTTCGCCGAAGCACTACAACGAGGCGGCGCTGGCGCCTTGGCGCCGCTTGTTGCTGATGCTCCTCTGCAGCGCCACGAGGCCGTCGTCGAGGCCGTCGTCGCCGTCCTCCTCCTCGGCCATGACCGTATGAAGACGACAAGGAGGAGCACAGAAGCAGAGCCGACAGCAAATACCCCTCGGCAACTCGATCGATCTCTGGTCACCCGTCGTACCGGCCCGCATCGGTGCAACGACAAGAAGGGGAATACAGTACGCCGCCACCAAACCATCTCCTACACCGGTCTTGCCTCCCGCGTATAAAGCCCAACTCCGGTCCGTCAACCAGCAGCGCGCGCAGAGCTACCAACAGGACTGTTGGGCCAAACCCGCGACAATGGGGCGACGGCGGTACCGGCAGAGGATGCCGGCAAAGCCCGCCGCCCCGCCCGCGGTGTCGACCGGCTCGATGTGGAGATGCTGCGGCATCCGGAAAAAGGCTGGTGGAGGCCGTCGTCGAGGTCGCCGTCGTCCTCCTCCTCGGCATCGTCGACGGCCGCCGCCCCGCCCCGGCCGCCGACGAGGCTGAGATTGTCGAATCAGCCGAGGATCAAGGCATTGGTGGGTTTGCTGCTCATTTCCTACCCTTTATTACCTGCCTAGGTGCCTGGTTAGGGGAGGGGTGTATAGAGAGATTATTGAAGCTTGGTCGCGGACGGAATG